CATATCATAATATAAATAATATGTAATGAGGATTCAAATATATTCTAGGCGATCAACATAAGGCTCTCAATTTTTCTTCTGCACTTAGTTTTCTCATGTGCAATAGGGTCACAATAGAAGTCAAAATGCAAATGATATGCATGTCTTCAGTAAGCTATAAATCACCACACAAATGCATGTTATTATGGTTTACTGTAGAGTCAGAACTGACCAATAGCTGACCCTCCAGTGGGTTTTCAGAGGCACTTAATGCACAGAAGCAAGTTATCCATCCTTCTCCCAAAAACCTAAGCTTTATATATGGATATTTAAATTTCACGGATCATTTTTTAAAACATAACTCTGCATGGTTCAAAATTGGGAAGGGCGTACTCCAGGGATGTGTCCTGTCTCCATACTTTTTCAACCTGTATGCAGAATAGATTATCTGCTGGGTCCTATGAAGAGAAATGTGGCATCAGAATTGGTGGAAAATCTATCAACAATCTCCATTGTGCAGATGACACAACCCTACTTGCTGAAACTGAGGAGGACCTGAAGCGCTTGCTGCAGAGGGTCAAGGACTGCAGCCTTCAATATGGATTAAGGCTCAATGTCAAGAAGACAAAGATTTTCACTACTGGACCAATTGGCAGCATCAGGATGGATGGTGAAGAGATTGAGATTGTTCACAGCTTTAGTTTGCTTGGCTCCACAGTCAACACTCTTGGCACGAGTAGCCAGGAAATTAAAAGACATATTGTGATGGGAAAGTCTGCTGTTAGGGACTTCTCCAAAGTACTGAAGAGCAATGGTGTCTCTCTGGAGACTAAGGTGCATCTGATACAGGCCATGGTTTTGTTATACATCAGAGAGTTGGACAATGACTAGGGTGGATAGAAGGAGAATTGACGTCTTTGAGCTGTGGTGCTGGAGAAGAGTATTGAGGGTACCATGGACTGCTAAGAAAACAAACAGGCTGCTCCTTGGAGGCAAGGATTCTGAGGCTTCGTCTGACATACTTTGGACATGTTATAAGGAGGGACAGATCCTTGGAGAGGGACATCATGCTTGGGAGGGTGGAGGGACAGCATAGGAGAGGAAGGCCCTCTATGAGGTGGATTGATTTAGCGACTGGGGTAATCAGGATGGGTGTGTCAGAGACAGTGTGATTGGCACAGGAGTTTAGTGCTGTTGTATATAGGGTCACTATAAGTCACAAGCGACTCGATGGCACATAACAACAATTGTTTAAAGATGTAAAAGCCTTAGCATATAGGTTATATTTTAAAAAAGGTGAATTTGGCCCGGAGCCTTCAATTGCTTTTCCTTACCTGATAATTTTCAAATGGCATTAGAACATGTCAGTTGGCATACAATTAGCAATCATGGAGAACTTCCTCCTTAGATATGAAATCACCAGAATTGGATGGTACCTGGTTATCATTATTGGGCATTCTATCAAAGAGTTCATAGAAGAGACAGGGAAAATACACAACAATTTTAAATTCTCCAGACTGGAGCCATAGAGCCTGGATGAATCCTCAAAACTATTGCCTTCAAGTATTTAAACCTTAAACCAAAAATATCCTACTCTTCTTAAAGCTACAGTTAAGCCTAACTAGTAAAGAACATCTGGCCTGCGTATCATACTTATTTAAGGTTTATTTATATGTAATCACATTGATAACAGTAACTTGAAAGATTATGTAGACACTCTAGGAGGTAGTGAGAGTATGTTAATGGAGGAGGATCAAATCAGAAAAGGAGAGAATAATTGCACAGCTTGGAGAATGTAATTAATATTATGGAAATGTGGTGTATGTACTCCACACACACATACACAAAATCTTTTTGAAAGGCATGAGTATTATAACTTTAAGGGGGAAATGAAGAGAATTTGATACATAAACGTGAACATTTTGAGAGTACAGAACTTGCTTAAGAAGATTCATGACCCTTTCCAACTCCTCTTTACACACATTTCTTTTGTCAGATGGTCCCTAAGTTCCACACTTTATTAAGCATATGGGATCAGGTGAAGTTAACACGTTGCTGCACACTTTTTAAACTGACTACTGTGCTTAGAAACATATTTGCCGTCATTTGCAGCAACATGTTAATTAGATATTAAAAAAAGTAATTTGTGTCAAAACAGCTCACAGAAATATTCTATAAATAGAACTTTTTTTTTGTTTGGAACAATGAAGGGACACAATCAAAGAAGTCCTAGAGCCTTTATCTAGCAGAAATGCACACTCTGGGATTAAAGTAGACTCATACTCATTCACTCACTCATTGTCATTAAGTTGAAATCGACCCACATCTAACCCTCTAGCAAGTTTGTGGAGGCTGAAAATCACATGGGAGAAGAATGCTCATCTTTTCCCCTCAGAATCACTTGTAAATTCAAACCACCAGAAAAGTATCACTGTTGGGTTAGCTGTACAACTCCCATTGAAAAATGGCATCAGAGCTCACTGTAAAGTGGATTGTCGTTGTTGTTGTTGATAGGTGCCGTCGAGTCAAGTACGACCCATAAAGCCAGAAAGTGGCTAAGAAACAATAATACAAAATTACAATACGTCAGAAGTTGAATAGCCATTGGAATAAATTACAAGAAAAAAATAGTAGAACCTAAGAAAACAGTTAATTGGGCAAGAGAAAGGAAAAGACTCAATTATATAATGTTGGCTGAGGTTTTGAATCCAAGGAATTCTGGTTTCAATAACAGGATATTTGTGAGAATTAGATAAGTTTTGAGGAAGAGTTCTAAGAGATGTTGATATCAAATAATCTTATACCCACCTAAATGTATGATTCAGAATTCTCTTCCAAATAGTTGAGATGTTCATTTAGATGCTCAAATTAGCATTTTTTCTCTAATATTTTAATACACTGAAAATAAAACTCACATGTAATTAGAAAAATATATATATAAACACATATGACTGCCACCATGACTATATAAACTCTTAATGAGTTTTCCACAAACTTGTCAGAAGTCTTTATAGAATCCGAGCATTCCCAAAAGAAACTCACTTCAAAAGTTATTCTACTGAAGTCAACTATTGTCCTAACATCTTTTCCTTTCTTTTATGAAACATTAAACCACCACATGGGTACTGAAGAGAGTTACTGCTTAACTTGAAAAAAAGCACCTCTGGCTGGAGGGAGCACATGGTCACTTCATATCAGAGCTAAGCAGCCTTTGTGGCAGGAAATAAAAGAAGTCGTGGAGGGAGAGCACCACATCCATCAGGTAAGTCTGACGACTCAACAAGAGAAACCCCACTGACCACACATTACCAAACACTGATTGACAATATTTTATTAAGGTCCAATTAGTAGATTTTTTTCCCATTTCAAATAGTCCATATCTCCTTCAGAAAATATGCACATGAGTAAAAATCCAAGTTCTTTTTTTCACTTCCAATACAGAATGCTCTCTATTAGCTATAAAGAATGTGCAAACACCTTTGTGCTAACTGATGGGTGAATTCCTCGCACCCTTTTCAATGTGGGCATGTTAGCAGTCTGTCCATTGCTCAAACCCTGACCATCCACCAACTTCCTCTTCCTACACTTCCATTCTTCTTCAGGACATCTTCCTCTCCAACTTATTCCAGACTTCCCATGCTTGCTTTGTGACTGATAACTTCACCAGTCCTTTACTACAGCAACACTGTGTTTTCAATACTAGTGTATGTGGACAATGTATTAAACTGGTAGCAGCTAGTATGGAGATTCTTGGAGAATACATACTACCCAAGCTTTGCAACGTAACCTTTATTCATTTGGCACATTTGATTCCTTTGTATATCCACCAATTTTAATTACTGTTGTGGCTACCAAAACTGTATAATCAGTCTTTCAAATAACATTTGGGATTTCTAGACAGGGTTATTAGGGTGTCCTGGTTATCTGTAACAGTTGACTGTGTCCAGTTCATCTTCTTATTTAAAAAAAAAAAAAGTCACTGTCCATTAAAGTAGCCACTGTATTTCTTTCATAAAAAGACAATTTAACTGGCTTTCCTCACAACTGCCATGCATGCAGTGCAAAAGCAGGAAGTTCCTTTTTATAAAAGGTAAAATCAGAAAAAGATACTTCACATTTTTTAAAAAAAGTTATCCTTCATGAGAAAACATCCTAAGTCAACAACCAATTATATGGACAAAGTTTATGTACACAAAATTTTTGAAACATCACTTATAATAGTGAAAATGAGAAATAATCTAAATAGTCAACAATATGGCATGGTTAAATAAATGGAGTGGCATCCATTAAATGGAATAATACCTAGCCATTAAATCATGTCTTATAAAACTTTTAATGCCATAGGAAAATGTGGCAGTGCTGAAGTTAAAAAAAGAGAAAAAAAAACCAACCCTGCTTACAAAATTGTTTACAGTAAGATTCCAATTATGTATGAAAATATATAATATGTATTTATAGGTATAGAAAGGGAGGAAGCTATTAATAGTGGCTACTTCTGGGTTGCAAGATTATCAGTAATAATTTTTTTCTTTCTTATATATGTCTATGTTTTTAATGTTTCCTACAATGAATATGTATGATATTATAATCCAAAAACAAAACTCCACACAGGCTATTAAAAACTTTCTCCAATATACTGGTAATTAGAATGCACTTGGTATCATAAATACGTGGGAACAATGTCATTTGATCTTCATCTTCTATGACGTTTTTAAGAGCACAGGTAATTTTGATAATCAACTTACATTCCCTGTTTATTTCTACTGACATACCACTTGAATAAAAAGGTAATAAGACTAGAACATTGTTTCATAACCTTAACAAGTACTGGCATTCATATCTATGTTCTTCTATTTTCTAGAAGATTTTACAATTAGTATCCTTTTCTCTTTTTAAGGTATGATGCATACATATATGCACATTTTCTTTAAAAATTATTCTAATTTAGATCTTTTCTACATAAGGGAAAAATAGAGTGAGGGTAGTTTTTGAAAAGGCTACAATCTTGTTCTTCACAAGCATGCTAATAAGCATAAACACATGTTTATGAAATGAAATGTATCCTTTAAGAATGATAAAAGGAAGGGAGCCTCTATGTAAATGAAGTAGATTCAATGAGCCAGAGTCTTCTCTGGCTGGCACCAAACCACACAAAACTTTTAAAGTCTAGTTAGTGTCATCTAAATGGACACTCCAGTCTGTTCACAAATTCCACTTATAAGGACTCCACTTTCTACTTTCAAAAGGAACTGGGACCAAGGTGAGGGTTGTCACATAAGCTAATTTTCAGTATGTCAAGTCTTGTGGGCTCTAGGAACAAATACTGCCATTGGTTAGTGTTTTAAATACATGAGCTTATGTTCTTCCGCTCTCACACCCCACCTTGCCTTTGCAAGTCGGTAAGGGGGAGATGGCTCATCCTTCAGTTGGTGATGGTTAGCTTTTCATCATTAGTTTCCTTTCTAAACCACAGAGTGGTCATTGCTGTGAACTCCAGCCAAGATGGTGTGGTTGAGTGAGGAAGCTGAGCGGTCAGAGCCTTCCGTGGGGCCGCTGGTGTTCTCACTGCGCTGGCAGCACAGGATCTGTCGGAAGGTGGCACTCATCTCCTTGTCGCGGTAGGAGTAGATGATGGGGTTCATGGCAGAGTTGAATTCAGCAAGGAGAAGGAAAAATTTCTCATAGGCCAGAACATTACACTGGGGACAGCACACATCTAGAAGTAACAAGACCAGTCCAGGAGTCCAGCACACGATAAAGGCACCTACAGTGACATGGACAGGAAACACCAGGATTCAAAAAGAGAGAGAGAAAAAGAAGGAACTTTAATTATGAAACATGTGATCATAAAGATTTTTCAATTAGCTAGCTAAATATAAAAATACTGAGATTCAAAGTTATTAATTTCAAAAGCCCAGTTAAAAGAATCAGAAAAAATTTTAGTGATGACAAGATAGTCATAAAACCACACTAAATCAACTCCTACTAACACTGAATATTTATGAGACATTGATGTTATTTTGAGCAAAATACGATGAATTTGATAAACAACTAAGATATGAAAACCTACACTCCAAGGAATATCATTCCAATTATGAAGACAGGGTTTATAGTCACATATGACTGTTTTCATGTAAAAGATATACACTGATATTCAGTTAACATTCAGTTTCTGGATTCATGTTGCCTGAGTGGAAATCTTTGTTTTGCCCTTTAATAAAGTGGGTGAACTTAAGGAAGTTTATTCTTTTACCTCAAGATTCTCATTGGAAAATATAGTTGATCATATTTACCTCATTAAGTTTGTTATAAGGATAAAATAAGTACTAAATAAACAATCATTCAAAGCATATATAGTAATAATAACAATATTGTTATATATTCTCAGTAGCACATTAAGAAACAGGGTAAAAGGCAAAAGATTTATTCGATCTGAAGAGGCGCGTTCTCAAAAAGTTGCAAACAGAGATACCATTTGACCCCGCAGTACCACTACTGGGAATATACCCAGAAGAGACCATAACTGACACCCAAGCAGATATAGGCACTCCCATGTTTATTGCAGCTTTGTTCACAATAGCAAGGAGTTGGAAACAACCTAAGTGCCCATCAACAAACGAATGGCTAGAGAAGCTGTGGTATATTCG